TCTGGACTCGAGTATGAAAGATACAAATGTACATCAGTCGCATCCGTCGTATAAAATTTGTGACCGATACTGTAGCCCAAATATTCCAATCGTTGACCTCAATGGATCACGACCTGACGGTGAAATAATGAAAACCACAATCACCGAATCAAAGGAGTCGAACAGTGACGACAGCAAGCCATTAAGTTCTAGTAGAATGTGGCTACCTCATTATTTGGTTATTTCTACTGAAAGGAGAATTGCGATGAGCTTCGTATCCGACATTTATCTATGTAAGAACCTCCTTCCTCTTCTGAGTTTTTATTTTAATTTTTGCTGAATTGAGTCGCGCTTATACTAACTTACGTTATTTTAGCGTACATTTTTTGGTCGATTTTCACCTCGCTCATTCCAACTATATTCTACTTTTCTGTTTGGGAGCTTGCAATATCAGGACCAGAACTCGCGCTCCTGGCGACGCTTTCCCCGGTGTTACTTGGTATCGCTCCTCTACATGCCTGGGCGTCTACGTTGAAAGGGCGGGTAGTCTTGCACATACTTTCGTTAATTGGAATAGGGGCGTATGCTTTGCACAAGCCGCTTCATAGATTGTATGCGGTCACTTTTGCCAATTCTGTCCTGCTTATAAGACAGACCGTGGACTGGTCCACGGGTGGGGATGAAGATGCAATTGGATACCAAGGCATCCGTACGTTGCAATTGCACCCTAATCAGAAGAGTTACTAGTGCGATCTCACCTTTCACTTAGTCATGGGCCTAGGACTCATACTGTCCTCATTATCAAAACATGCAAACCATTCAAATAACCCAGGTGAATTTACACCGAGACATGGTATGCTTTACTAATGGTTGTTACAGTCTGGCCCATAGTGAATGAGGAGACGGGTGGATGGAATAAAACTGGGCTTGCGCTCGCTGTCCTGGCTATTTATGAGCTCAGTAGTCGCACCACTAGGTCGCCCGAGAAAGATGACAACAAGAAAAATACAAAGGAAAAAATAGCCAAACTCGCAGGAACTAATCAGTCTCTGCCCTGGCTAACTTCATCGCTCGCTCTTGGTAGTTTACTTTTCAGCCTACATTATTTGATTTCGGATGCAAGCACGGTGATCACCTGGTCATGGACGGGATACGAAAATGGAAAACCGAGAGGACCACTCCCTAATGTGCACGGTTCTCTTACTCTGATTGCACAAGCTGTTGGTATCCTGCTACCAACATTTCTTCATCCCCAGGCTCTTCTGACTCACCCTGCATGGTTTGCGTACGGTACAGCCAATGCGATTGTCATGTATCAATATAGAAATTGGATTGGTTATGTTGGCGGCCTGAACCTGGCTGTCTTCCTCATGTCTCTACTGCCCCCGGTATTACAACAGGCGGCGGCTGCAGGAAAAGTCGGCAGGACATACTTCACAGCTTTTTTCGTGGTAATCATCCTTGATTTGGCTAGCATCTGGACAGTGGCATATGCCTTTGTTCCTGGCGGCATCTATCTCAGGGAACGAACTGATATGTCAGTCCTTGGTTTAAGTTCCTTCGAGTGCAAATATTAATTGCTTTTCGTATGTTCAGAGTATTGTTATCGCAGATTCTGTTACTATCACCGGCCTTTAGATGGAGGTCATCAAGTACGCAAAGCTCCTATGTGACCCTGAATCTACGTGCCTCGTACACCCAGAGCACTCGATTGATTTTGGCGCTACTGTCTATCTCCTCTCTTCTCATCACTTTATACCGATGGCCGCTTGTGGGACCGAGGCCCTATAAAGCTGGAACTCGAATTTTTAACGCTGGTATATGGACAGTACACTTTGGGATTGACAATGTAGGACGTGATAGTCAACGCCGAATGCGGGACCTGATAAGGCGAGTCAACCTGCTACCATTATAACATGCAGCCTAAATAGATGTTCCATTGCAGAGATATGCAGCTCGATGTTGTGGGCTTGTTGGAGACTGATTTGCAGGTATACTATATGATCGCAAATTGTTGCACTTATCTAATGATATTTGTAGCGTGTGGTCTATGGCAACCGTGATCTGTGAGCTCAACACATAGAGATTACTCTCTTGAATGATTAATTTATTCTCTCTACATAGGACTCGGGTCATTACAGAAGATCTAGGCTATGTTCGTCTATCTTTTCACCAATGAGTTTATACCCTGACTCTGTCATCCATAGTACGTGGACATTGGCCCTGGACCAAATTCGCATACATGGGGTGCTGCCCTGCTGTCTAAGGTTAGGACAATGATTGATCTCCCCTTGTCAAGTTGATCATGTCTCGCCAGTTCCCTATCATTAATTCAACCCATCACCTGCTTCCTTCCCCTAACGGAGAGCTCGCACCTGCCATAGAGGCTGTACTTGAAGTGTATGGAACGGAAGTGACAGTTGTGGTTGCGCATAATGGACAAGGTTAGTCATCCCCATGAAGAAACGTAAAGCGTAGTTCAGCCATCTGGTACTAGAGCAAGATCCACTGGATCGAGAACTTCAAAGCAGAGAACTCGCGCGTATCATGGCGAGATCATACCCTCAGCCTGTCGTGTTCCTTGGTTATGTAGTGACGAAGCCTTTGGCTCGAGAACGTGAGTGTTGTAGTTCGTGATCGTGGCTCCATACCAAACCATGCTGCAGCGGCACCATATGATATCTTAATATCTGGAGGCCGTGTCTACGATATCGACAACCAAGACTGGGATAGATGGTTAGCTAACTCATTGCCTCAAAATGAATGTCGATATTAATCCGGTCTGCTTTCAGGTGCGAGTATATTTTCTACAGAGGCTTATATCGGACATCATATGCGCGTTTATCCCGCGGAATTGTAACAGACACTGAGCTGCAAATCGGCCAGTTTGTTCTCCCAAAACATGGCCACGGAGTTACCAATGAGACCGAAGCTGCACGGACGCTTCGTGCATGGAAAGAAGTCTTACCACCAGACCACGTATGTTAATCATTGTCGCTGCTATAATAGCTTATTAACGCTTAAACTAGTGGTTCCCTATGGAATATTACGGGAATAATAATGAAGGAGGTGTGAATGGTCATTTCTATCATGTGTTTAATACGGTAAGCCAACCTGACACGGTGCATACAATGGTATCTGACATATGGATGCAGCCGTTGTATTATGATATCCCTGAAGGTGCAATCTTGTAGTCTTATACCTCTAGCTCCATTGTTTTGCTTGTATTATACCGTATTCTCTTGTACCCCTTCCTGATCTTCTTCCCTGCCATCGTTCGGAATACTACTTCCATCTTCATCAGTAACGCTGTCGTCCGTGTTATCTTCGTGGCTGTCTTCCTCGCTTTCATTAGAATGTTCTCCATCACTGTTACTCTCAGATTCTTCGGTTTCTTCGCTACTTTCGTCTTCATAGAATTTATCCAAATCTTTCCAAGGTACTTTGCTACCGTTGCCAGGCGGTGAAGTACTTTGGTTTGGTGTCAAAACAATAGGCGCAGTATTCGCAGAAACAATAGGATATTGAGATCTTGCTGTGGTAACGGAAGGTGTTAACACTGGATCGTCCTCGTTAACCCTTAAGGTGGGGTCAATTCCTGACTCTAGCCACTCCGGCAACACAGTATTGCTCCCCACGTCCTTCCCCACCGTGAGACTTAGGGAACCGATCAGGGAGTGGATTTCACCTATAGGATTTTAGTAAAGCGCCTCGCTTTAAAATCATTCATCATGTACCTGGTATCACTTCATTGACTGAAACATCTTCTTTGCCCTCGAATAGCACTCGTTTAACCTGCTCCCTTCGTAGGACAACGCCACCTTGATCTTGAGTATCTTCATCTCCACTTATACTCGGGGAAAGGCCTGCCAAGAGTGATGCCAACATTCTGGTGCGGTCTCGAACGTCATAATCTATATCGAAACGGGCGACTGAAAATACGTAATGGCATAGAAGACCGAGTGTACGATCTGTGGGACACATGACAAGTAGTTTCGCAGAGAGTGTAAGAATCTGTAGTTTGACGATATTGCTCTTGGTAACCAATCAGGTTAGCATACGTAGGATAACAAAACTATCTCTATCCTACCTCCGAACTGAAAGATCTCGCTGATTTTCGCAACACGTCAGGAGCCCAATCTGCAATACCTTCGAAGAAGGTTCCGCTTTCCTGGGTGACACAGTACTGGCCTACAAGCCAGATAACGCAAGCTTTCGCCTGCGGATGGCGAACGTCATCTATTTTCCCAGCTAAACTAGATATGATGGAAAGAGGAGAATGTGTGACATTCGCAACAACTGTTCCAGAAAGTAATTGGTTTTGAACAAGGGATTTCAATATCTGCACTGCGTTGCTGACAATTATGTCTATAGAGAAGAGTGGTTTTTGAATTTCCAGTTTTAAGCGGTTGATTTCTTACCTTGTTTGCTCCTGATCATGTCCATTAGAATAGCCAGACATTGAGGGACACAATCAGGAATTAATCTGGCACAATGACCAATAGCAGCGATTGCATTCCCAACGACTTCGTCATCCATATCCTCAGCGTAGGTCTGAAATATAACATAAGTAGGCATAAAGACATTACTTGTATGAGAAACTGACAGTAAATTCACGGAGAATGATTTGATAGTTATCAGCATTCAGGATATTGAGCAAAACCCGTATTTTATCTCTTCTAACCTGCTGAGGATCATCAGCGCGCACCAATAACCGCAGATAGTGGGACGAAAATAAGTGCTGTAGAGCAACGAGATATAAATTCTGTGCTCGAGGATAGTGCCAAATGCGACTTACCGGATGCGCGCATGTAATTACAACCAGATATGAAAGGGCTACACGTTCTACAGCTCTAGAATTGCTTAGGATGCGTAGAAGGGGGTTGGTAAATCTTGAGTGCTGAGAAGGAGGAGCGATGTAGAAAAAAACGCGAACAACGGCCAACACAACCTGGAAAGAGTTAAGGGGTTACGCGAGTCATAATAATATGCATCATGATACGACTTACTGCTGGATTTTTTGACTGAAAAAGAGGTTCAGCAGATATTAAAAGCAGCTGTAGATCCGAGTCGGCTTCCTCTACCATCTCGCCGTCGTGTGATAACACTGGTTTTGGTAGCATTACACGAGCATACCTGATCAGAAGATTAAGAAGACTGATTTGGCCCCATTCGTCAACATCGACCATTAGTCTACAAAGTCTCCTGTATTGTTGATGGAGGAGATCGAGACGGGTGGGACAGACAGCTTCAAAAGCGACAACGGCGCTACCTATTGAAAGTGGGGAGCGATCGCGGAGGAGGGTTGAGATGATATCGATCAGTGACGTTTGGTGACCTTCATCCAGTCTAAGGAACAATTAAACCCTTGCACAATGACTGTGAACCCAACTTACTGGTGACACTTCGGGATGGCAAGAGCGGCTGCCTTGCGAACATAAGGACTGATATCTGCTGCGCATTTCTTAATAGCCAACACGACAATACTGCCTATCATTGGTACTTTAATCCCACTGAGTACACGAAGAGCCATGGCACGGATGAGCGGACTGGAGTCAGTGAGATCCTTTTGGAAGGTATTGATGGACAAGAGGGCAAGGTCAGGTTCGTGTTCCGCATATCGTAAGAGATAAATGTACACCAGCTTGCGTATTTCGAGATTTTGAGAGGCCACATTTTTAACGACTTGAGGAAAGTAGCTGGACACATTGCGACCCTTGGATATCAGCTTTTCCAGGTCGCCGGGTTGGCAATGGCATTGTTAATACGACAGTTAATACACTTACTGCAATGAGTCTTTTCATGGCATCTAGCTTCTCTCTATCGCTGCTGGAATCCAACTGTCGGCCAATGTTCTTTACTTTCTCATCTGGCATGTCAAACAAAGAACCTGATCCTCGAGTTATGGATAGGTCGCGGGTATGTTCAGAGAACGTTTCTTGGATACGCATTCCGAGTCTCGATGCATTTTCAGCCAAAGAGTTAATGTTAATACTCGCCATGCAGTTGAGTGTATAAGCCGTTCAGTACCAATATGTGTTCCACATTAACTCGATTAAGATGGATTGGCTGGGCGTAAACCCTAACCTTACTTACACTGCACCATATCCTTAAGTTATAGTTCATCTCAAGTTCGTCTGACAATCCACTGTATTATCAACTTGTCAACATGTGCTGTAGTCTATCAAGGCTCCAATGAGGCTGGGAATGTCCCGCTTTCCCTCTGCTCATCAAATTTGCTTATCTGGATCAACGTGAGTATAAGTTCACCTATAGCATACTGATGTATCATACCCATTCATCTGCATGTAGTTCAGAACACGACACCCCTACAGTTTCAAATGCACTCACTAGGACAAAGGGAATTGTAGGCCCTCTTAAACTGCTTGCAGGGCGCGAAGTCTTCTCCCTTAGCAGCAACACATTTGAAATAGTCCGTATAGTTTTGGTAGCTGCGTTACAAATGAAATTGAATATCAAACAGATAAACAAAGAAAGTTAACGCACCAATGCCTGGTTTGATTCGTGTTGGGAAAACGGGCTAAAGAACATGTCAAGGCAACTCAGCGAGTTGCTGGCACTTCAACGCGATTTTTGCTCACCATCAAAGCCAGCAGTTTGAAGGATGTATTTGCTGGAACGAAATGAAAAAGTCTCCTCAGGCGAAAGACAACAATGCTCACTTTGAGAGATCAGACATTTTGCGGTCGGGCGTAACAGGCAAAGGACAAACAGGAATTTATGATTGACTCTCGGGCTGGTGCGGGTTTAGCCGCTGCTTACATCAGCAGACGGACCTGTCTCTGTTGTTCAAGACTCTGACAATCCAAGCTAATACAGTATCGAAATGGATGCACTAAAAGCCGAGATCGCAGCAAAACGAAAACTAATTCAAGATGATGGAACCAATTCACGTCAAGCAAAGTATATGCGAAGAGGAGATATCGAGAAGTTGAAGGAGGACCAGGAATCACGAGTCCAAGCAAAGGAGCGAGCAGCACAGGAAGAAGCACAGAAGAGACTTGACGCAACAACGAAAGCTCAAGTGTGTTTTATTTGCATTCTTAACCTGCTAGAGTCAACTGACACGTGGATGGAGAATAGAGTATAAGTCGTCCTACTTCGGGGTCGCCAACACCCATCATTTCCTCTGCTGAATCCGATTCTCCCAAACCCGAGTCTTCTTTCAATATTTCAAATGAGGAAACAATACGTCGGCTTCGAGCTAAGGGCCAACCCATTCGTTTATTCGGTGAATCTGACAAGGAGCGCAGACTACGTCTTCGTGCACTTGAGCTCATTGAAGAAAAAGGTCATGAGCGCTCAAGCGGCCAAAATGATTTTAAGAAGGCTCTTGAGGACGTCGAGAATGTCGAGCGAGAAATGAAAGGGAGGGGAAAAGGGAAAAAGAAGGGCGACGCAGACATGACTACCACTGGCGTATTAGATCTAGGTCTCATCAAGACTGACCCAGACAAGCTCTATCCCATTATCTACTATTCCCTCAAGCGTACGTTAAAAGAATGGGAAGAAGCTATGGATGATCGACCAGGTTGGTCAAAACTTATATTTCAGGGCTGGAGTTAAATATCATTTTCTCTAGATCATATTAAACGCTCCACGCAAGGGAAATTGGCCGCAGCCACCCAGGTTCAGTCCGCAGAATACCTGAAGCCCCTTTTCAAGACGCTTCGTTCGAGAGTACGTCATTCAAGTCAGCAATTTAATTCAACCAGATAGACAGCGTGACCTGTTTTCCCCCCCCCAGTCGTTACCATCTGATATGTTGCTGCGTATTGCTGAGATCGTGCATCATATGCAGAAACGCCAGTATCAGAGAGCCAATGACTCTTACCTCCGACTATCTATTGGAAACGCTCCTTGGCCTATAGGAGTCACTATGGTGGGGTGCGCTCTAAATTTTTCCTATTAAGTACTTCTGATACTGACTTAATGGATGCTGTATAGTATTCATGAGCGTTCCGCCCGCGAGAAGATATCTTCAGATCAGGTGGCCCATGTTCTAAACGACGAAGTCAGTCGAAAATACATTCAGAGCTTGAAGCGGTATGTTGTTCAAGTTACTCGTACTGAGTATGAATGCTTATAAACTGCCTCATAGTCTACTGACGTTTTCCCAAACGAAGTACCCGCCAGAAGACGTCTCACAATTAATGGGTTAGCCGACTCACCTAGCATGCTAGTATCATATAGTATCCAGTTTTTATTGGAAAAGGTCCGAGAAGCCCGTACCATCGTCTACATTTTGTTTTTCTTGCCCTTTTTTCGTCCTTCATCAATTGCCAGTGCATGTCCAGTGTCTCTAATATGCGAAAATAGCTTTGTTTTGCTCCCGAATAATTCCTTGCAGACGTTGCAGCGCTGTTGTATGTCGTTAGCAAAAAATTTCGTGTGTAAAGGTGCAGGCTGACTAATGCGTCTCGCTCAGCTTGTGTGATAGCCTCAGCTTTCTTCATCTCGCGCAACCGTCTCTTTTCTCGTTTGGAGAGTTCGGGTATAGAATGCTCTGTGACCGTAGCGGTATTTTCTGATTTATGGTCACGGTTCGCCTGATCCTGATTATCCACACTGTTCTTGAGTAAGGGCTCTTCGATAGTTGACGAAGAATCTTTATAATCGTCAGATATCTCCAGTCGGTTGGCTGTGCCTGGCTCAGATTGAGCGTTTGCGATTTTGTCGGTTAAGCTTGGAGAATCTGCCTCCTTTGTGTTACAGTCTTCAAGGGGGGAGGGACGTGTGGCCGAAAGGATTTCATCTAGACCTCCAGTAACGCATGCAGCGTAAGGTGATGTAGCATTTTCTTGATCTCCGGTTGCAACAGCGGCAATCACATTCACTTCTTCCCCTAAATCCAGCTCTTCATTGTCCTGCTGCATTTCTTTCTGCAGTTTTGCGATTTCCTTCAAATGTTTCTTGCTGCGTTCGTGGCTGTCCCATGCCGCTTCACTCCTAAATGATTTCCCGCATGCCACACATTCCCACTCTTCAGACTCTCCTCCTTCTGCGGCGGCCCACTCCAAATCGTCATGCATACCTCGCGTGTCGATGTTCTGCCACTCCTGAATCTTATAATCCACAACCGGGGCAACTTTCTTTTTAGCGACCCCTTGCATAGGTGTAGCTGAACCAGATGCCACTTTAGACTGAGTTTGACGTGCAAGATGAGCCTTATGGCGGGGATCTCTTTTCCGGACAAATAAAGCAAGCGACTGTAGACGTACTAACTTTAGCTGTTCGTTACGGTGGATTAAATTTATCTGGTTACTCACTCTGACGGTGTCGTTGAACTCCCTTCGAGCATCTTCGCGAGCTTTCTTATTATCCTTTTCCATGAGCCTGCAAATATGAATATTAAATTTCCACGGCAGTGCAACAGTACTATGATTAATTTCATACGAACCTACGAACTCTGCGATCTGGAGCCTCTGTAGTGTTCCATTGGTCCATCCATGAAAAGTCCTTTGAAGATGCGAAATTCAGCCACTTATAATAGAATAATCTTGCAGCTTCTTCCGTATCGGTTTTCTTCTCAGAAGCCCAAGGCCATGACGAGTTCCCAAATGATGGGTAAACTGCATCAGATACAAGGGCTTCCTCTTGAGCTAGCCGTCCAAAAAGGTTGCGGTATATCGTAAAAAAACTCTAGTTCACGACTTTTTTTTAGCACACGAACCTCCTAAGCATAAACAAAAGGCGTACATCGTCTCCGTCGTCGAAACCCGACCAGATTGTTGCGCTGAAGAACTGGGAAAGATGACGCACGGTCAGCCCACGATCGCGTGCACGAGGTGGGGGTGCTCCTCGTCGGATATCCTCGAACACAGCGTCCGCATCGGGTTCTGGGGCCAATGATGCCTTATGTGAATCATACCAGGCTCTTTCCTAACATGAACCAACCATGATCAATTCCGATCAGAATGCAGAATTATTTTTGGGAACTCACTTGCTCGTCGCTCAATACCTGTTTGAGTAATGTTACATCGTTTCCAATAGATGACTTATGCACATGCCTCGTATGCTTGTTGAATTGCCGCAAACCTCTGAGTAGCTCCTTCGATGTCATCTTGATTTTTGTCAGGATGATGAACAAGAGCCAGTTTTCGAAAGGCGCGCTGTAGCAAACCAGACTCAACTGCGCTGATCTCACTTCAAAGAGCTCATCCATACTTTAATTTCGTCGCCCGATGCTGATTCTTCGACTCCAAGCAATTCATAATAATCTGGGACGCCAGGTTCGCCGTTATCTCGGGCAGTTGATTCACGAGCCCCCATCACCGATTACTAGTACTACAGCGAGTAGAGTTTTACGATTAGTTATGAATAGTAAGGGTATGACTTGGTAAAGCACAGACCGGTACACTTGCAGATTTTTTCCTGCCGTCCAACGTCCGGTGCTTCAGCGATATGAAATCCTGGTAAAGATCTGAATACTGCCACAGTATCGTAATGATACCAGACTGGCATTTCCGGAGAATGCCATGGCCACTACTAAATGCGGAAACTGCAAAATAGTTCGTCACGTTCCAGTTCTCTCTGAGAAACCATTAATATTCTCATCCTTGACTGTCTTGGTCATTCTTTAGACACGCCAACTTTTGGCCTCTACACTGCCTTGTTTAACTGAAACACTCGTCTATCTTTGTCATTATCATGTCTGATTTCTTCAAAACGTCTGTGCCATCCTCGACTTCTCCAGGTAAGAGGTCGTGAAATCCGGTTATAACAGAGAAATGAATGCGTCAATATATTCAATCAGATCTCGCCGCTCGCAAAGAAGCTGTGATGAATTCTGTGCGTAGTGAGATTGCGCTAGCAAACGCTCAGGAGTTGATGAATGTATGTGATGGACCGTTTCATTCTGATGTCATTCTGACTCCTCTATCGTAGAAAACTAACGAGAAATGTTTTGCTAAATGTGTAACGAAGCCTTCGTCTTCACTTTCGAGTACAGAAGAGGTATTGGTGTTTTGTATCTCCCATTATTTTGACGCTAAACTTTCGCGAAAGACATGTCTGACACGATGCCTGCAACGTTACATGGAAGCATGTGAGTTGCACTTTTGTCCCTTTCTTAGACCATTTGCCTCAGCTTTTTTGTTGCAGTCAATATCGTGAGCAAAACATATACTGCACGCATAAGCAAAGAACGAGAAACATCGTGACCAACATGGTCCTTGCTTTTCTATCTTATTTACGCGAACAGTGAGCGGTCAACCTTAGTTAACAGTAGCGTATCGTGGGCACCAGTAGTTAGTCATTCGAACTCGCAGCATCGATGAAACGTTTGTCCCCTTGCATCTAATCCCAATCTTGTTATTATGGGAAATGTCATACCGGGTGCTCTTCGAAATCTTCAAAAAAAGACAGTAGTCATATCCCTCGATAACCAAAGCATTCAAGGCCTGCATTACTATACTAGAAATGGTATGTAAGTGATTATAATCAAGAATTAATGATATAACAGAGCAGACAGAGGGTCGTGAAGTTACTAATACGGAGAGGGTATCATGATCAGGAGAAGTGAAGGCTTGAGTAATTGTCGAGGACAGAAACACAGACACAACTTTGTTGGGATGAAAGTCGACTAATATAAATTTACATATCTCAACGACGTACGTCGTCATCTGATTCATAGGTTACACCAGGCATCCCAGACATTGTCACCATCGACGACTCGAGAGTATCCGCGCCTCGTGAGACGGATATGGATTGGGAGGGGTGAAAAGGGGTGGTCAACAGTGGTGGTGACGGGGTATGAAAACTTGGCTGGGAGAATCCAGTTGACGTTGGAGAGTGCCCTTCTGCGTGGTAGGATGAAACAATCCGCATATCTTCACCGAAAAGCGGCCTTGTCATAGGAGGGACTGGGTATGAGCGGGAAGCACCACTGCGTGGAAGTGACATAGCGCCGTAATCAAGAGACGAATGAGCATGACTTGATACATTGTGTTGTTCTACACCTGGGAAATCGGTAAACATGGGGGAGTGGTTTCGTTGTATCGAATGTGGGCGACCTGAATACGGAGAGAATGATGGAGTGAAGGCGGACGAAGATCCCTGCTGAGTGCTGCCAGAAGAATCCACTACAATGCTCGGAAAAGTAGACTCATGCTGTGAGGCATGGTTTTGGATTATAGTGGGACCAGAGTACGAGCGTTTGCGGTCATTGGTTAAGTGACTAGAACTTTGTGAATCTAGGGCTTCACCCTGATAGTGATACCCTGGCCCAGTCAGCGCTACTAACGGGGGCTGAGGGATATCCAGTACTGGTGCTGCCTCTTCTCCTGGATGATAGGATGGATTGTGTAGCCGAATATCTGAACCTGATGTATGAGCATTGAGATGGCGAAGCACATGCGCTAATTGGACTGCTGAGCCAATAAGGTCGTGACGGAGAATCTTGGTAGCTTGTTGACCCTCGGTCCAATCGGCGCATCTCTTCCACTGACGGATTGGATCTCGACCTTGGCTAGATAAAGGCGATGTAAAATTCTCCAAGTAGAATGTGGGTGGCTGTGACAAGATGAAAGAAGCCAATCCAGATCCTGGGGCTGCATTAGTGAATTCGGTGTCTACAATGATGTCGAAGGGAATCTCCATCTTGAAGCCATAGCCCGATGAATGTATGAACCACGTCAGACACCGCTTTGAGTCGCACAGGTAGGCAACCAAATCATGTTTTCCTACCGTCGTCGCGATTCTCCGCCATGTTCCGATAGAAAGATCAGTACAAGGAATGATCGTCACGGCTGGGAAGATTTTTTTTGAGAACATCTTTCTAAGTTCCTTTGTATGAAGATACTCACGTTCATCCTCGTGAATTAGTGTGTGCAGTTCAGCTTCGTATCCTGTCGATAACTCTGGAGGTGTGTCTGGGGGTGTGTCGATGCTACCGCCACGGCCCTTTTTACCGTCTTGAAGCTTGGCTTTCGCTCGCCTGTAGTTCATTTACCTATAGTGTACGACAACCAATATCATAAAACACACCTATTTTGGAACCATATTTGTGTTTGGCGCTCCTGCATCCCTAGTAACTCGCTGATCTCCTTTCTCCGTCCCGCAGTAGGACTTCTGTCCACAGAGAAAAAACGTTCCAAGTGCACAAGTTGTTCAGGCGTCACACGAGAGCGTTTGCGCTTTTCCTTGTCTCCTTTGCTACTCGCTGCACCGGTCGACCTCGCACGTTGAGGACCAGATGCAGGATCTTTCGCAATTTCGGGTTCTCTCCCATCAGATGTCGCAGATGCAGAACTTGGCCGTATTATGACAGGCGTTATAGGTGAGTGAACAGAGGAGCTGGGCGATGAAGCAGAGGAATCAGGATTTGGATCGACTTCAATGTCCTGTGCACAAGCGCCGGAATTCAGGTGAAGGGAGTCGTGCTTTGTTTGTGGCTCAAGCATGGAATAGCTTTCTTGAACCATCTCCTGTGCTTTCGTATAAAGATCACAAGCTGCGGGACCAGGAAAGACACGAGAAACTTACAGTTCATCGAGATTTTCCGAGCAGCGTGACTTCGAAGTAGGTTATCGGCTTGGACAGGACCAACTTATGTTGGAAGTGTCAATCAGAAAAGGAAAGACAATCCTGTGTTTGTTTGGGATGATTTTGTTCGAGTGTGGAGGTTAACGCGATAGCCGGAGATCGGGCCAATCTGAAAGGCCCAGCTGGTCCAGAGTAGACTGAAATTCGTTGCAACTTACAAACCGAGGACACGGGGAAGGAAGCAAAAAGGGAAGGAAGAAAACGTGTCGTTGGGTTGGTAGACAGAGATAACCGAACGAATGATAGGGATATCACAGAACAGGAATGACGACAAGTAGAAGTCGATTTCCGGTGTCACCGTTCAGCATTTTAGCGCACGAGGGGGAGGACTATCAGACGTTTCGGTGGCACAAAAACGGGGAGCAGGCTCACGAGACGTGCGATCAGATCTAGGAACCAAGAAAACGTTGGTGGCAAGGTAACCGTTCTGTTCCCTGTTGTCAACCCCCATACGACGAACAGTGAAATACATACATTTGAGGTTCGCTTTCTATGTTATTTGACAGGACAGCAGATTTTTTCAGGCGAAGAAGACGATAAACCTTGCGGGCACTGCGATAGCAAAGACTAAAACGGGCACCCGGGATGTGTTGATCCCATGTTGCTGTTTTCAGCCAGCTTACTAGGGTGCTAAAAAGCTAGCCCAGATAAGATTTGTCGGAGTCGCATAGTACAGCTGAGTCGAATAATTCTGATTAACATCCAGGAACAAAGCAAAACATACGTCAGGATGACCTGAGCATGTCGCATATTGAGTGCGAGTGTGCGCCCTAATAATCCACTTAAAAATTATACTACCAAGAAGTCAATAAGCCTTTGAACTGATAGTCAGGATCCCATACACTTTGCTTCGATAGCTCGAGGCTCGAATTTCTAGGTGTACCAGGCAAGTACCAGCCATCATTTTGAAGCGTGCTTTAAGCCAATGACAGGGAAGGCTGTTGATCGCGGAGCCGGGGGTTGCTAGGCATTAGCCGGAAGAATGATCAGCACAAGCACTAACCTTTTTTGTGAATTGCGAGATGGCCCATCAAACATAAAAGAGCAACAGAAACGATCGGGCTGTTCCGTGATTCCTATGTTTGGGACGTGCAGAAAACACCAAAAAATTTTAATGCTGTCGGTAGAGGGGTAATCCTGCCAGGCAGTGCCAGTGTGTTACTGGGCCGTTACTGAACCTGGGATGTAGTGTTACTAGTAACATGGATATACATGTGACCTGGATAAAATCTCAAGCTTATTTCTTTGAGCCTGATAAGAACAGGGTACTTGCTCATTGCATTTGTCGGGATGGCGCTCTCTGAAACAAGTAAGTGCGGGCTCACGGATCTGTCGTCGATGCTGCGGCGGAGTGAGCTAAGGAGCTCAGGATGCCTACATTGTTGACAACAATATCCTTGATTCTTTCATTTGTACGTCACCCGGGACCGCTGAATACGTAATGATAGTCACTCGTACTTATGCTGATTTCTTACAACTTTGAAGGGCACGGACGGTTCTGAGCAGATATATCAGAACGGCAACGAAGTACATAAATAAGTACTTACTCATTGGCTATGAAAAGCTCTTTGTAACTTCAATTAATCGTGATGCACATATCCGACGCTGGTCTCCGCAGTCGCAGGGCTGTACACTTACCGTACGGTAGTACTAGTTACATTGATCTCAACTTACACACTGCGGCGAGGCTTAGGAATAGCGCTCAAACATTCGAGTAATAGCAAGACAATGAATCGAGTACACACTACACGTACATCAATTAGAGATGCAGACATACAGTTCTAGCCTACGCCATGTTCTACAACCTGTAATGACAGTCAGGCCACAAGAGTTTCAAGAAAGCTACCATTCAGCCAGGCATTTCAAAACGCCTTCTTCTCAGGGCTTTCCAACTTACATTAATGTATTCCTCTCGTTGGATACGCTATCGTTCACGCTCCATTATTGTAGATAGGGCAAGTAACTTCAGGAATTGAGCAGGCGACCAGTCCTAGGACCTATGGTGCTGCAAAGCAAATATTTGAAATCAAAGTCATACTTACACTTGCCTTGCTATGTCCTTTCCCCGTCTACATCATTCATGGTAATACTTACGCATATGCAGCAGCGAAAATGAAAACAAACAAAACACCATGCACTTACAAACCCCACCTAACATGGAGCCAAAATAGCCGGACAATAGAGTAGAATGGAGCAACCGCACCCTAGTACCGCGGTCGTTTTGAGTCTCTGTCATCATACCCACCAGGTCCTTCTCGTTTTAAATCTCCCCGATACCCACCTCCATACCCACCACCAGGGCCAGGGGGGGCATATCCAGGGGGGCCTCCACCTGGCCCCCCACCTGGTCCCATGCCCGGACCTCCATAACCACTTGGTCCATTAGGAGGACCGTACCCATTCGTGGGGCCTTCGTTGAAACCACCACCTTGATACCCAATACCTCCTCCACGTCCCCTGAAAATAAAGTTCGTCAGCATCAGCACAAGGTGACTAAAAAGAAAAAGAGAGCACTAACCTGAATCCTCCACCAGAGTCATCTCGCCCCCCTCGGAAGCCTCCTCCACCTCCAAAGCCGCCACGAAAGCCGCCTCGATCGCCGCCAAAACCACCGCCCCTGAAGCCGCCCCTACCACCTCGGAAGCCACCGCCGCCTCGGTCACCGAAACCTCTACCACCACCGCCTCCTCCTCCTCCGCCGCCGCCAAAGCCTCCTCTGGCTGGTTTTGGGGTTATAACAGGAGGTGCTTCTACAGGCTTTGGGCGACCACCAAGTCCTCCACCCAGACGACGAGGCTTCCAACCACGTACTGTCCGGCCGCGTTCGACATCGACTAAAATTCGCTTGCCATTGATGTGCAAGCCATCTGATTCCTTGTACGCAGCTGTGTAAAAGGCGACAATGGTTAGCGCGACAGTTGCGAGGGGTAACGTCTTGCATTCACTACCTTTCATATCGCGCTCTCGTTCGTAGACGATGAAAGCATAGCCTCTGCTGCGCCCCTTGGAATCTCGTACAATTCTGACTCGCTCGATAGTTCCGAAGCTTTCGAAGTCTCGACGAAGTTCCATTTCACTTGCGCCTTTATGCTGTGCAATATAAAGTTAGCTCAAATGGCCACAAAATAATAAAAAAGATAACTCACCAAGCGAGAGATAAAGAGCGTCTTGTAAGGGTCTCCTATAGCTTCAGGATCATCGGAAGGTTTATCTGGAGAATGTCAGTTCAATGAGATTTGTTACGAATAGTTAAGAAAAAAAGAGAAACGACTCACAAGTTTCCTTCGCTATTTTGAATTCTTCCACTTTCCTTCGCTTCCTTTCTTCTCTCCGGATTTGCCGTTTAGTTTCTTCTGCATGAGTGAATGCAGGCTCTTCGCCCTCTTCCATACCATCGCCTTCGCCATTGAGGAGACCTGCTGTTGAAGCCTCTTTCAGCTGAGCTAAAATAGAGCCGACACCATCGACATTTTTGTTGGTTATGCGGTCAATGTCCTTGCCGACTGGTCGAGCGTAGGGAAGCGGAGGACGTGGGGCAAAGAGCTTGAGAAGATTTGGAGGAAGGAGATGCGTGCCGGGCATGTTTAGTTTGGAGGCTGGGGATAATTTTGCAGAATGATGATAGAGGGACTAAAGAGCAAGGACTGAGCTCTGATTCGAGAGCTTTATAGCTTACAAGCGCGCTTTGGCGCGTCAATGGATGGCCAGACAAGTGTGGAACGAAAAGTGGCCCAGCACTGGATTCTGTGGACGCGGGCAAGAAAGACGAGATTTCAAACTCCGAGCATAGAGCTCTCTTATTGACCTATTGGTCTGTGCGTAGGTGAGCATATTTATTGTGCTGGCCATTTACTCAACCACAGCAATGGCCATTCTAACGCATCTCATCCGCAGTAATGAGACATGCATTCGCCTGGAATACGTGTGGACGCCGTCTCCAAGCGTTTCAGTCCTTTTCTCACCGCCCTCAACGATGGCCATTGCCTCACAGGCTGTATTCGTCTCTGACAAAACCACAGTTCGCTTCATTCTTCTCGCACAATGGCTCCTGGGCCGTGGAAGACATCTCCAAGACACCTGAGAGTATCCCAGTACGACTCATCGCTCATGTTGCAACCTGCCAAACCACCACTCCATACCGCGAAGTCGATGTTCTTACTCCTCGACGTCTTCTCAAGGTTTACGCACAATTGTCCAAATCGCGTCTAACTGCATTGGTTGTATTGACTGCCATGTCTGGAGTAGCGTTGTCCCCTTTACCTGCCACAGTACCCGCTCTACTGTCTACCGCAGTAGGAACTGCACTTTGCTCAGCATCTGCAAACACTCTCAATCAACTGCAGGAGATTCCCTATGACGCTCAAATGACTCGGACTCGTATGAGACCACTTGTGCGCCGGGCCATCAGCCCCCTTCATGCTGCAGGGTTCGCATTAGTGACTGGTGTTGCAGGTCCAGCCATCCTGTTAACTCTGAATCCGATCACTGCTTCACTGGGGGCCGCCAATATAGTCCTCTACGCTGGATTATACACTTGGCTCAAGCGAAAAAGTATACTCAACACATGGGTTGGTGCCGTAGTGGGCGGTTTGCCTCCTTTGATGGGGTGGACAGCTTGTGGGGGAAAGCTGCTTCCCTCGTCGGATTATCCTTTGGAATTTTTCTTTCCCCCCTTCCTCTCGCAGTTGCCCAGCATGGACATATCAATGATCGATAATCCTCTGTCGCCACTAGCACTCTTCCTGTTGCTATACAGTTGGCAGTTTCCGCATTTCAACGCTTTCTCTCACTTAATGCGAGCCTCGTATGCCCAGGCAGGTTACAAAATGCTCTCAGTACTCTCCCCAAAGAAGAATTCCCTTGTTGCATTGAGACACGCTATTATCCTCATTCCTGTTTGTTCCCTGATGTTTCCGCTTTCTGGTCTCACTACGTGGTATTTTGCCATCACAAGTTTAGGCCCCAATGCCGTCTGCACTCGTGCGGCGTGGAGATTCTGGAAATCTGGAGGAGAGAAAGAAGCCAGGGCTATCTTTCAACATAGTCTGTGGTATCTTCCTGCTATTCTGGCTTTGATGATGCTACACAAGCAAGGAGTTGACTGGACAGATTGGACAGGACGCCAAGTATCTGATACAGATATTTCGAAGGATGTGGAGGTCATCTGAAATAAGTTCAATTGATATATTGACACACACTCAGAGTAAATTATAATGAGATACAATATACCTTAGTTTGAAGGTGATTATACGGCTTTGAGTCTCGCCATTTCTCTTTTTCTTTTCAGTGCGTCAAGCCTACTCTTCATGACGCTAACCTTAATATCCGCCTCTTCCTGCGCTCTCTCCTCGTCAAGGAGACGATCCATGATTAGTTCCCTCTCTTCCTGTTCCTTCCTTCTTCTCACTTCTTCGTCTGTGTTTCTATGTGGGGCATCTGAAAGAGTTTCAGCGTCGACTGACTGCGAAGGAAAGCCTTCTGGGACTTCGGAAGCGAGCTCAGGCTCAGCAAAAATGGTTGCATTTTCGTATGTCTCCCGACGATCTGGAGCATTTACAACAGTCTGCTGGAATTTGATCCACTCAAGATCAATGGCGGGATCGTTGGAAGTGTGGTTTGTATTTGATGCAGGAACGACATGAGGAGGTCCACTTTCGCCATCGTCAGAGTCATCAGAGGTTGGTGGGGGGACTCTGGAGGAATCCGAGAAGAAATCGACGGGAAAAGAACCAGGAGCGTCGTGAACTGCGGCGTCAGCAGGGGAGCCATCAACCCTGGGTCTTTTGCTCGTTGCCTCGTCTGAGGTTGTGTCATCCTTCACAGCCTTCCTTTTTGCTCCCATGTTATCATGTTGAGCCTGCTCCTCCCTCAAACGTTCTTCCTCCCGTAAGCGAAGAACATTCATGCGATGGGACTTGGTTCCCAGATGGCCATCCCAAGCGGACGCATGCTTGATGACGGATCCACATATTATGCAGCGTAGTTGACCATTGGATGAATACGAAGCTAGTGGATGGCTGACACGCACTTCCTGTCGCTTTGCTTTGAGTAGCGCTCGTACGTCCGACATTTCTGAGATGAAGGCGGTGAACACCAAAGTTGGGTGGCAACTGCTTATATTACATAAGCATCTTTACCTGTACTAGTACTGATGTCGAGGCAGGGAACGCCTGAGAAGATTACGGACATTCAGGATTCTTGTTATACACGATGGCAGCCCAGTGATCAAGCCCATGACCTCGGTGAAAGCTGACTAACCCCAGTGCTGCTTGCACAGTTTGAATGTGACCTATAGAGCTTTCTGCTATATATGCACAAGGTCATGAGGCGCTCAAGAACTACAAAGCCTGGTCCCGTGCTGCCTTCCGTACACTGTCATGCATATATAATCCTTGTCATCTTCCTTATTTATTGACACTCTCCAGCATATCCCTCGATTTACAGCTTGTGAAGATGCTCAGGATGGTCCCCTCGTCGCGCAGTTTATATCCTGTTTTTATTTTGGCCCCTTTGCTTGCTTCGGCCCTCAATGTCTCCATTCCTCTCGCCGCACTTTCTACAGTTCCGGCAGTGGCACCAGAGCTCATCTCCCTCTCCATCGAACAAGATAGATGGGTAGACTGGGCTGGAACTTCTGCGCCAAATGTGTTCTTCTATAATGCCCTCGATAACATGGTACAAATCACTGGAGAACCCCCCTGGATCAGAATCGGAGCTGACTCCGAAGATCACACTATCTTTAGTCCTGGAGTCGAGGTAAGTGTGGCCTCACTAGTATATCTGACCCATTGCCACAATAATAAAACATTGTACAAGTACGAAGAAGATATATTTCCGCCATCGACCGCCATTACCCCGTACCCGGAGGCGACCAACATCAGCGCCGGATACGCCTTCTATGAAATAATTTCTCATCTTCCTGCTGGTAATTGTTTCCGTTTGTGCGACACTTCATCTAGCTGACTTTGAGTCTAGGGACACACGTACATTGGGGTGTGAATTTAGGCCAATATAATATTACAGCGGCATATCTAGAAACAAAGGCCATGATCGAGGCATTCAATACTCCAGCCGTGAAGCAGGCGGGTATCACTCTGGATTTCATCGAAGTTGGCAACGAGGCAGATCTGTACATCAGCAACGGTGCAAGAAATAGTAGTTGGGATCCTACAGAATATATTTCACAGTAAGTGTAATCTGATACTATGTACGAGAATGTACTTCGTTCACTCATCTTTCGATTTAGGTGGTCCACTTTTGCTGCAAATGTTTCCGATGCAGCAGGCCTTTCACCTACATCCTACACAAAATTCATTGGCGGAGCGTTTGCTGGATCTTCTCACAACGTCACTTGGTTTTCCCCGCAAGCCATTTTCTTCGGCGGTATCTTAAATTCGGAACCAGGCTCCCTCATTAGGACGTATGTTCTTCACTTTTGCAACGGGCCTTATCTAACGATTGAGGGCACAGGATTTCACAGCATGACTACAGCGGTTCATTCTGTACTGGTAGTGGCGCGGTCTTACAACAACTTATGACCAAAAGCTACATCCGTGGCAATATCTCTGTCTTCATTCCCGATATCAGTGCGACCCATGCCCAAGGTTTAGACTATATCATTGGGGAGGGGAACAGTATGTCATGCCACGGTGCCCCTGGTCTCTAATTTTTTTCGCGGAAGTTTTGAGAAAGCGCTTAACATTCGTATCGCAGGTGTCAGCAACACTGCTGGGGCAGCTCTTTGGGTATTGGACTATTCATTTTTTGCTTCGCAGGTTGGAATTAGCCGGTTGCACTTCCATGAGGGCATCGGATACAAGTATAACTTCGTTCGTTCGGATTACGTTTTCGAGTCTCGAGATTACTGACGAATCACTAGATCCAACCAGTTACTCTGAACTATTCGATACTTGATGGATCGCCTATCACGCCTCTTCCACCTCATATTCAACCTCCATACTATGCTGCTATCATTGCCGCCGAGGCTATTGGCTCTTCCGGAGACACAAAAGCAATTGAAATTGCAGTTAACAATGCAAACATCACGGGCTATGCATTCTATGAGAATGGTGCTCTTTCACGCGCTCTTTTCATCAATCTTTTGGCGTATCTTCCCGGAGATTCTGTCCGCACCTCGACGCACCTCGACCTGAACCTTGGTGGGTACGGGGTGTCTCCAGAGACAATGTCTTTGAAAAGACTGGAGATTGGGTATAATTTCGAGCCGTGTGGTGAACGCTCAATTGCTAATATTTGCCTCACACAGCTACGCGAACGACACATCGGGCTTGACCTGGGGAGGACAAACATATGAAACCAGTGATGCCAGAGTCAGTGGTCAAGAAGTTCTACAGTACATACCTGTCAGTGCTGGAATCGATATACAAGAGACAGAAGTTGTACTAGTCCAATTCTTGTAGTAAAGTATTGTTCATTCTCTTTTCTCAGAAATTGCTCGTATCTCTACCTTTTGTTATTCACGGGGGCTTCTCAAACTGTCTGGATACTCATAACGTAGATGTCTTGCGAAACCAATGAATCGAACCTCAGGCAGCACTTTGAGGAGGCATGGTCACCAGAAATCACTCATGTGACGTTGGCTGTGTAGGAAAGATCCAACATTATTTTATTAGAACAGTATTCCTGCTATTCAAGAGTTCACAGTATTACTTTTATTTGAGCTGTGTCGATAAGCAAGCAAACTTTAGCTGGAGTGGGCTAGGCATTTATCAAATTTGATACCTGGATCCTATGCGTTTGTTTGTCTAGGAACGGACTTAAGGTCATAATTCTACAATATCCCATACAGTTTTTTAACTTCCAAGACAGTCTTATTATCGCCCGTATTCTAGTAAATATGTCAGATATGACCTCATCAAACTTGGTGTCCCTTCAAGAATGGCCTACCTTAGTCAACTCATCGCTTATTTTCACACATTGCTTTCCGTTTATCTCTCCTAATTTTATCACCATATTTAACGCCTTGCTCTTGTCTTTTCCTCCGCTAGACACGGTATAGAAGTCATTTGTGAGGAATGTCCCAATCCCAAATGAACCTATTCAAGATCACATTTGCAGCGGGTACCGCGTCAACAGTGCAGTAAAGAGGATATGAACTGAATAAACGTACAAACGAAGCCGAGATCGTCGCATTGTTTCTTTAACGCTAGAGCCTTATCCAAATGGACAGCGTCTGAAAAAATGATACTCTTTTCGCGATAATTGATTCCTAGGCTCTCATAAACTTCTTTCGCGCGCGGTACAAATATAAAGGGATCCCCAGAATCTTGGCGTAACCCTTTCCAGCGTTTTGCACGGTTCTTGTCAGTGATAAACTCCTACAAAAGCATGGAACGTTGGAGCAATTACTTGGATCACATATGTAGGCGAACCTTGTAAAACACTTCAGTAGAAAAAGTATCCGTCAAAGCAACGAGAAGGTCAGACGGATACACTTGCTCCCAAAGATCAAGGGCGGTTGAATTTGCGTGTTCGTAGCCGCGTAAGGCAGCCACCTTGAAGAAGCAGAATTCTTTTCAGATCTTGACTATTCTAGACAAAACCTTGGGTGTACAAACCCCCATGAACCATTCGCTGCGAGTAATAAGACATGATGAGTAGGGCATCCAGATTATACAGTTACTTACTGTGCAATTGTTCCTATAGGCATCAAGTCATATTTATAAGCTAGATAAACCTATTACGGTGTCAAAGAATATCCATGATAAGATGCCTGTTCATGCACATTACTCGTTCCAGAGAATTTTCCTTGGGTGGGGAATTCCTGCGATGCTCGGATGAGTGCTGATACTACAAGGTCTTGTATATGGAAAGATCGCCTGCGTCGAGTCCCAAACTCGCTGAATGTGCATCCCGCTTGCAGCAGCGCTGTTGCTTTTTCGTATGCACGCTCTGACAATGATTTTATGTCAGGTGCGATTTTTCCTCCAAGACGATAGCGCTCACCAGCTTGTTTTTCGTAATTCCAGTCTTTAGACACAAAGCGAAAGTATGTCTCGCTGAGACAGGCCATCAAAGGAACCTCCCACATAATAGTCTCAACCCAAGGACCCATTGCCTCGATTTCAACATCCCCTAGCTCACTACCAATTGTCACGGGCTTGAATTGAATGGAAACTTGTTCAGGTTTAAACCGGTAAGATGACAGGTAAGACAAGTATTCTGGCTTGAGGTAGGAACAATTTCGCGTCAACCACTTTAATTCTTCATTTGTCAAGGCCACGCTTTTAAAGTCTAGGGAAAGATAACGGTGACTGGTTCAAGAATATGACAAATTTAATGACAGCTTACGACTTAGTGCAGACTCGAACTCGTCAATGCAACTTCGAGTAAAGTACACATTATTATCCCGGTGCGTGAAACGATAAGTTGCCTGCGCTTCCGGGAAATGTGAGAGAACAGCTTGCTGCATAGTCAGCTAATCGGATCAGAGCCTCATTACTGTATAATTCGAGGCTGAAAGTTGACAATTCCACACCTTGTATAAGTCTGTGTCCAGTAAAGACTTCAACTGATAACCTATGGAGGGTTGATCTTCGAGCATTTTCGAATATTTGCGGGATGTCGAGCGATTTGGGTGAAGATAACACAATTCGTCTTAAACCGAGTGGAGCGCTCAGCGTATAAGTTGACAGAACCTAAAATATGAATGTAGCTGCACTTCAAATACAAGCTTCAACGCTCAGCGCCGATGATCATCGATGATCTGATCCTCTATGACTCGGAGCTAGTAGTACCAAGTATGGTAGATTAGAGTGAAGTCACGGTACTTTCACGCTAGCGGACATCAAAGATGTGGCAGATTCCTCAACGCCCAACGTTCGATGTTCAACCTTAGACCAACGATCTCGCATGAACTTTCTCAACCACAGAAACTACAAGAATCCATCACATGGTAAAAGTTCACAAATTTATTTCAATGAGATTTTAGTTGATCCCTTACCTTCGTAGGCTTCGAGAATTGAAATTTTTAATGATGGTGGTTTTCGCTCGGATGGAAGGCGACAATATGAACTTCGTGATATATCTATCGATCTCTCTAACCATGGTTCAGCAGACGGTTCTGTTACGATACGCCAGGGACTCACCCATGTTCTAGTGTCAGTTTTTGGACCACATGAAGCGAGGGTAAGGTCACAGACCTTACATGACCGAGCGAATCTTAACGTAGAGGTCAACGTCTCGGCCTTCAGTGCGGGAGAACGTAGAAAACGCTCTAGAGCAGATAAGTCAGTATTTACTTCCCCACTTTTATCACACCCAATTCCATCTCTTCCGATCTTTTTACCCTAGAACTTTTGTTCATTAAGTTTTTAGACGTCTGCTGGAACTGGCTGCAACGATACGGTCCACCTTTGAGCCCGTAATTCAGACTCATCTATATCCTCGTTCACAAATCGATGTATTTGTTCAAGTCATACAGCAGGATGGTGGTTTATTACAAACATGTATCAATGGCACCACGCTTGCTCTTGCACACGCGGGGATACCTCTCTTCGACTTTGTTTGTGCAGTCACAGGAGGAGTACATTCCTCATCTCCCATGTTGGACCTTACTACCTTGGAAGAGAACGACATTCCAAATTTTACGGTAGCCATAATGCCCAAGTCCAATCGAGTAACCTTGGTGGCTATGGAAACACGGTTACATATCGACAGATTTGAGGAGTTGTTTTTATTGGCAGTTGACGCTGGCAATATCATACACAAAGAAATGAAAATCGCTTTGCAAGCAAGAACGAATGATTTGGCTACAACACTTCGACAGGGATCGAAGGCTATGGGCGGCTTTGGGGAAAGGGGGGCGGGAATTGAGCACATGGATGAAACATAATGAGATTGAGACAGAAGGAGATAGAATTCTACCCGTTTTCACGTGTATTTTAAAATCATTGGTACTTAACAATTGAAACAGACTGTAACTAACGTATTCCTTTACACATTTCGTGTCGCTTCTATTCTTTTGAAGCATGCCAGCCACTTACCACCTCCGTTCCTTTCCACCTTTTTGCCTTCCTCTGTGCTGCTGTACACTGCATCTAATATAGGACCACAACCCTGCGATCGCAGCGCTTCCTCGCTTATACCTTCAAAAAGAGGGAATGCTTCGAGGTGAGATTTCATCCACTCGTGAAGATCGTGCACATCAGTGATTGTGTAGATAACTCCGCCAGGCCGAAGGGCATAAGCATATTCTGCGAGGAGTGTGGGTGAAATGATGCGAGCTTTGTGTTTACGGGACTTGAAATGAGGATCTGGGAAAAGGAAAAATATGGCAGATAGCGAATGTTTTGGGAAATAGTTCGGAAGAAATTTCATGGCGTTAGCGCGGACTATAGATACGTTTTGAAAGGATGACGAGGGTGATTGTGAGCTCGAACTCGTAGCACGCAGTGCGGCAATACGGTCGCGGACATACTCGGATACTTGAACGCGTATTTCCATCCCTTGAAGTAATGATAAATGTCAGATGATGATGGACAGAGTTTAATTGAGCTGAGTAGTGAAACCTACCGAGCATGAGGGTGTCGGGGTAGAGGGGTGCGAGGGCTATGAGCAGGCCACCAAAACCGCAACCTATGTCGGCGAACTCAGGTGATTTGCCTGTTCCAGAAAAGGCTGGATAATGCTCATTCCAGTCTACATTTTGAGGAGAACAGGGGTATTCCAGGGAGTGGTCTGAAAAAGGATTTGCATGAGCTCGCTGCCGATAATGTTTTTTCTACACAACGAACTTCCATTAAAAATTGACAAAAAATTGGGTGATTTATCTAAACGGACCTGTGGTAAAAATGCATTCTGTACTTGAGATAGGTCACTGATGTCGGATGCTCCTTCGGTTGTCCTTCTCCGTTTTCCCATCGCAGTGGAAATAGAAGAAAATGAAAGCCTGTCTATATACAAGTGATCATACAATTTGGGGCCTGAGCAGGTATAAAGTTGTGCGTTATTACTCAAGGACGGTTTTGACTGGAAAGTTTACGATTATCTCATATCGTAGCCCGCGTCTCACGTGACTTGCTCGGGTAGACCCATCTGTTCCGATATTTTCCTGCTCCGGTGTTTCGTCCTTACTACGAAAGTTTTCTCTTTCATTTACTTTCTCTGTCTCGTTTTACAATCTCCTGCAATGGCTGCATCACTTCGTTCTGTTTTTGTAAGCCCAGCGTTATTGAAACTATATTCAGTTATGTCTGACTTCTTTTTCATCAGTCACGTTCCCCTTTCGCTGCACGAACGGCCTTCCATTCGGCCCGATTTTCTTCGACGGTGTCAAAACAACCTACCCTTAAAGAACGACTATCTGAGCTTATTCCAGCAGAAATAGAAAATGTATGTTTGATCATGTCTTAATTCGGCAGATTCTGATTCAACCATCACAGGTAAAACGTATACGAGCGGAGCATGGTAAAAAAACATTCGGTCCTGTAGCCGTTGATCAGCTTTACGGGTACATATATTAATTTCAAATCCTACACTCTCACTTACTGACGTTTCGGTATAGAGGGATGAGGGGTCTTCCTGCCTTAATATGGGACGGTTCCGTTCTTGACGCAGGTATGATTCACTTTTTTTAGTTTCAGTAATAATGCTAGAGGTTCACTTCACGGTTTGCAGAGGAGGGTATTCGATTCCGGGGCAAATCTATCCCTGAATGCCAACACCTACTTCCTAAGGCACCCGGTGGCTCAGAGCCTCTCCCTGAAGGCCTATTTTGGCTTCTTGTGACAGGTGAAATCCCAACCCAGCAGCAAGTGGAGGAGCTGTCTAAAGACTGGGCTGCTCGGGCGGCCATTCCTGAGTTTGTTGAGGAGATTCTCGACAGGTGTCCACCCACCCTTCATCCTATGAGCCAATTCAGTTTGGCTGTCACAGCTGTACGTCTCAAAAATAACTGAAGTTTAGAGAGACTAAGGCCCCACCCTTCATAGCTCAACCACGATTCTGCATTTGCGAAAGCCTATCAGGACGGAATCTCCAAAAAAGAATACTGGAGTCCTACTTTTGAGGATTGCATGGACCTGTATGTCATTTCACCCTGTAATGGTATTCTTTCACAAACATCACGCATTTAGTATCGCGAAGCTTCCTAACATCGCTGGTCGCATATACCGCAATGTTTTCGGACAAGGAAAACTGCCCGCTATCGATCAGGCAAAAGATTACTCTCATAATCTCGCAGCTTTACTTGGTTTTGGCGATAACGAAGCATTTGTAGAGCTTCTGCGTCTTTATATTACCATACACAGGTATATCCTTTTTCTAACCTGCTCTAGCAAAGAAAAATGTTTAATTGGTCCTAACAGTGATCATGAAGGTGGGAACGTGTCTGCTCATACGGGCAAGCTTGTAGGCTCTGCCCTTTCAGACCCGTTCCTTGCTTTTGGTGCTTCTCTTAATGGTTTAGCTGGACCATTGCACGGCCTAGCTAACCAGGAAGTCCTCATCTGGCTGAGAAAGATGCAGGATAAGATTGGTGAGAATGCCAGCGATGAAGCTGTCAAAGACTACGTATGGTCGACTTTGAAAGGTGGTCAGGTAGTGCCCGGTTATGGCCACGCAGTCTTGCGTAAAACTGATCCTCGGTATACCGCTCAACGAGAATTTGCGATGAAGCACTTGCCAGATGATCCTCTCTTCAAGCTCGTGGGTCAGATATATAATGTTGTCCCTGATATATTGTTACAGGTAATACACATTGACTACCCTGATTTCCAATTAATCGACCTTTCCCCTTTAGGCAGGCAAAGCCAAGAACCCTTGGCCTAATGTTGATGCTCACTCCGGTGTTTTGCTAACGCACTACGGACTGACGCAAATGCAGTTCTACACAGTTTTGTTTGGAGTGTCCCGTGCCTTTGGAGTCGCTGCACAATTAATATGGGATCGTGGACTGGGTGCTCGTGAGTGGTCAAAATAATCTTGTGTGTGTCCCACCTAACAGGAGTTGTATAGCTCTCGAACGTCCCAAATCTTATTCCAGTTCTGCGATTGAAATGATGTTCAAGGATAAGCAGGCGTAGCTGTTTACATGAATGGCTGGATAGACACCGCTCTTTCAAATAAAATAATACTTCCTACTTTATTTTGTTGAAGCTATGAGTAATGGAGAGAGATTTATATACTGCCACATGATGGGCCAGCGTGGACAGAAATACAAAGCGTGAGGGGTTGCTGGATAAATGGAGGGAGGAGCCAGTCTCGATCCAGACGTTTCGGGAAGTCGCGGGACAACCCGCTCTAGGCACTACCCAATCGTAGCGGCGCGCTTGCGCCAGTCCCCGACTCTATGGTATTCGACATTTGTGTCTAGTAGATAGAAAGGATAAATGATGAATTTTAAGCAAGGTTGGGTAAAGATCGGAGGGTCTTTCGGTTCGAAACACGGCCTAAATCCTAGAGTCTCGAGGTGAGCTGAAAACCCAAGAAATTAGGAGTGCACGACACAAGCAGCGAAGCTCAAACCAACCTGTTAGGAAGTGCAATTTGCTGGGATTATCTTATCGGTGGCATGGTGTACCTTGTAAACGGTTCCAGCGCCGGAGAAGATTGCAGATATGGGGCTAATATCATTACATGGTTCCTCAGATAGAGGGTGAAAGCCTCGCTAGACCACCTCCCCATGGTTTTGACTACGTTGAAAGGTACACCTTGTAGTAAGTATTCAAGTGTGCCACCTATACAAATGCTATGGCCTTTGATGTCCGGTAAGTTTTTGGTGGCGGCTATCGAAAGAATGCGTTTTGTGAACTCTTTTTTGGAGAGCGGGTGTAGGCCTTTGGGATGTTTCCAAGCAAAGAGATGCGCTTGTGCGTTGACAAAACCGGATAAACCCGGTCTCTGCTGAAGCAGTCATTGTTCTCCATGGAGCATAGCCACCACTCCATGGAGTCACCATTGTTCTCCTAGGAGTCATTATACTATAGCGAGTAGCACCTCCGACTATAAGTAGTAGGGGGTTTAGTATAGAAATAGCTCAGTCGTTTCTATAGCCTCTTGGGCAGCGGCTGAGGTATGTTACATTACATTTATTAGAGATCACCTTAAACTAACATCCATTGTAGTTTCACATAGGTAAATAATAAAGTCGTTTCTATAGCCTCTTGGGCAGCGGCTGAGTTTCACATAGTTTTATTAGGTTATGAGCCCTGGTGCGCAAAAGCTATGCAGGAAATAATTCTTATTAGAAACGGCAACCTCGGAACCATGACCACAGCACACGATACATCCACATGTCCAGTTCTCACTGGACCCAACAATTTTCAGATATGGAAACTCCGGATCATCTCAAAGCTATGTTGGGAAAAAGTTCTCCGGGTTGTTACTGGAGAGGAGCTCAAGCCCTCACCAGGAAAACCTACCTCCTCGGAGGATCCTGAAATCACCTGGATACTTAAGGATGAGAAGGCACATGGAATCATTCAGGACCACATCTCTGATGCCCTCCTAATGAGGACTGGAGACCTCACCAGCTCCAAGGAGTTATTTGATAAACTTGTCTCACTCCATCAGACGTCCAACATTGCCTCGGCCTTCTATTCATTCCAGCAACTCACCAAATTGTCCTGGGATGGGACATCACCTATCCAGGACCACATTGCAAAAATCCGGACAATTGATTCACACCTCTCCGGAATGAAACTAGGAGTTGATACCAAACTCATAGCCTTCGCTCTTCTCCAATCTCTCCCATGCACTCTTGAATGGCAAATATTTCAGTCATTAGTAATCAACATGATTGAAGAAAATAAACTTACCTTTGATGCAGTTGAGATCTGGATCACTGCAGAAGTTGCACGACAGTCAGGGAAGGCCCCTGGAGGTTCCGAATCAGCACTCAAATCCGAGGAGAAGTGGTGTGACTTCCACACAGCTAAATCACACAACACCTTGGAGAGTTGAACACTTCAGTCAGCTGGAAAAGGTCAAAGGAAGAAGGGAAAGGAAAGACACAAAGATAAAGGAAAAGAGAAGGGAAAGGCAAATACGGCGGAGCAATCATCTGAATCTGACTCCGAGGAGGAACAGAGTCATATTGCATTGGAACATGTACATATTTCCAAGCCCCTTGCTAAACGCATTCAAGCTTACCTTGTGTGTTAGAATATACTCTGACATACCAATACTCCATAGGATAATACCTCTGATTTGTATGCCAGCCCAGTATGCAGCAGCTATTCTGTGTAAGACATCTGTGGTTGCATGTCATGTTTAAGATCCTACATTGTATAAACTTGGCCATATAGCTCAATTGGTAGAGCAACTGGCATGTATCCAGAAGATTCCAGGTTCAATCCCTGGTCTGGTCATTATCCAATTTTATCATGTTCAATTGAGAACTTCTGGGAAGTGTCTAGCCACTTGCTGAGAGCTAACAGGGACAGAACTAGAGTCCAGTATGAGTAACTATATTATCAGAGAGTACAGAATGTGTACAGTACCTAGAGTCCAGTATGAGTAACTAAAGAATAGGAATACTGGACTCTGCAATACTAGTTCGAAGTTTTGTAAACAAAGGTAAACAAATCAGCCACAAAGGCGAAATTATAGAATGCTCAGTGAATACTGAACAATACAGCAAAAGGAATAAAGAGGAAAGTGATTTAGAAAGAAGGGAAAATAGATAGCACAACTAGGTGCAGAATCACCAAAACTAACATTGTGTTGGAACCCGATAAGACCAAAACAACAATCATCATTGACTCCGGAGCAACATCTCACATGGTCCCTCACCGCTCCTGGTTTGAGCCAGGAACATACCATGTTCTGAATCCTCCGAGGACAATCAGTTTTGGGGATGAATCCTCTGTAAATGCCATTGGAATTGGAACTGTAATCCTACAAGCAACTGTTGGCAAAAAGGACTACAATATCGCACTGTTGAATGTCTTACTTGTGCCAAACTTCACTTTAGCACTTGTCTCTGTCCACAAATTGTCTAAAACGGGGTTATCAACACTTTTTCCAGCAGGGTCAAATGCTTGTGAAGTTCGGAAAAAGAAGGAACTTATCCTCACTGCCTTACACAAGCGAGGACTTTATCACATCCAAGCAAAACCCGAAATCAACCCAGAGTCAGCTTTTGCAGCAGTAGATGTAAATTCATTGCACAGGAGAATGGGACACATTGGAATGGACCACTTGCAATGAATGGTTACAAAAGGACAGCTCCAGGACATAGACACCCTTACCGGAACCCTGGAGTTTTGTGAACCTTGTGCTTTAGGAAAGATGAAGAAATTACCTTTCAAGTCCACTGGAGGAAACCGGGCCAAGCGCCCCATACAAATTGTGCACACAGACGTTGGAGGACCAATCAAACCAACTTCCAGGGAGGGTTTTTGGTACTGGATTATCATTGTAGATGATTCCTCCAAATTTCCATGGATACATTTCCTAAAACATAAAAGTGAAGCACTGGAATGATACAAGCAATGGAAAGAAGATGTCCAAACATTCTTCCAGACTCATTTGGGGGAAGAAAACTTCACTCCACTGTACACAGAATTCCTCTGGAGCAATGGGGGAGGAGAATATACTGGCAATGCATTCAAAAATCAACTCCGAGGAGATGGTGTCATCCAAGAAACTACAGCTGCAGATACTCCAGAACAAAATGGCATTGCAGAACGCATGAATCAGACATTGGCTACATTAGCAACCACTATGCTCCATGATTCCAAGCTCCCAAAGTCATTTTGGGTAGATGCCATGCAAACAGCTGCATATATCACAGCACGCAGCGCAGCATCAGGACTCCATGGAAAGACCCCATATGAAATACTGTTTAAAAGGAGAGTTGATCCAACTTTATTTTGCCCTTTTGGATGCCAAGCATATGCCTTGATTCCAAAAGACAAAAGGCAAGGGAAGTTTTACTCCAAGGGGTGCAAAGCCATAATGATTGGCTACACACATGGAAAGCAAGCCTACAAACTCCTAGACACTGAAAAACGAACTGTGTTTTCCAGTCGGCATGTCATATTCAATGAATCCGGAAAGGTACAAAAGAACAACACTGCTCCATGGAACACAGACACTAGCACAGATTAGTGGGAGGGACTCATTCCAGAGAATGCTCACTATCCAGACCAAAATACATTGGAGGAGGATGATCCTGACCCTCGGATCCGAGATCCAAATGAATTGCAAATGGAACCACATCTTCAAGGAGATGTTCCACAAGCAATAGAACTATATCAGCATGAAGATGTTCCGAGAGCAGTGGGGCAACGCCTCCGTGGAGACGTTTCAAGAGCAGTGGGAGCACCTGATCAACTAAGACACCCTCCACAACAGTTTCTACAACCGAGACCTGAACACTAGCCATCTTCAGAATGGAAACCCAAAGTAGAGTCACGGTCAGTGGGAGGACAGCCCCTCAACATACAGCCAGCTGATATGGAAACAGTCCGAATACAGCTAGACAGCCTGTCCATTGGATCAGCTTTTGGAAGGCATACAACACCTCCGAGGAGTCATCCAACGCCTCTGAGGAGTGATTCAACACCTTCAGGAGTGAGTGGGGCAACACACACACAAATGTGTCTACTCCCTGAAGTACCTGCACAAGTTCCTAAAAGAGCAGTCATGCCTGCTGAAGTCCTAGGAGTACGCAGAAGCAGTCGCCAGACCCGTCCTGCAGACAAAAACCGAGATTATCAAAGGACTCTAGATGAGGAACAGTCTCGAAAAGAGCAGCATGACAACTCCATGGAGAAACCTAACACTCCTGAGGTTCATGAAGAAACATCTGATACAGAGGAGACATTCTTTGCTGGAATAGCAAGTACTGGTCCATCTAACACAGACCTTCCAAGGACACTAAAGGAAGCCTTATCACGTCCGGATGGAGAATTATGGAAGTCTGCCTTGGAGGAGGAACTCCTAAGTCTCAATAATAATGCAGTATATGACACTGTTCCACTTCCGAAGGGAGTGAAACCCATTACATCAAAACCTGTGTTCCGGATTAAGTTTGATCAAAACGGAAACATTGAGAGATACAAACTCTGGATTGTTGCACGAGGTTTTACTCAAAGGGAGGGGATTGATTACCAGGAGGTTTTTGCTCTGGTTGCAAACTTAGAGTCAATCCAAATTATTCTAGCCCTGGCAGCAAAGTACGA